GGGCTCCATCACGCGTAACGGTGACTTGGGAAGACAAACGCTGAATGTCCCCCCTTCCTCCTTCTTCCCCCAGCTTTATGTGCTGGGCATGACCTCGTATGTGTGGAATATCCCTTTGGTCAGTTGGGGTCAGCTGTCCCGGCTGTGTCCCCTCCCAACTTCTTGTGCCCCCCCAGCCTGCTCGCTGGTGGGGTGGGGTGAGGAGCAGGAAAGGCCTTGACTCTGTGTGAGCACTGCCCATCAGGAACGAAAACATCCCTGTGTTATCAGCACTGTTTTCAGCACAAACCCAAAACACAGCCCCACACTAGCTGCTGTGATGAAAATTAACTCTACCCCAGCCAAAACCAGCACAACATGTGAACATCAGTCAGGAATGGCAGAGGACACCAGACCAAGCCACATGCACTCCTGGTCTCTCCTGACTGTGTTTTCCATGTCTCTGTGAACTAAGGGAGGGGCTGAGGGCCCTGATGAACAGCAGGCTATGCACAAAGCAAAACATCTTTAAAAATATCCTAGTTACTAAGAAGAGTATATCTGTGAGCTTGGACTCCAAGGTGCCGTAGATATTCCTGAAAACGCTACTTGAAATTTCTCTAATTTGCCAATTTGGTCATCAAGCATGAAACACTAAATGATGTGAGATCAGAATGTAATTAAAAATAATATCAAGTAGTATAAATAGCTCTTCACAAAAGCTTTGTAATCTTATTTCCCTAATATAATTGCATAAAAATTAGCATAAAGTTGCTAGATTAAAGGAGACAATATTATTGTGGAAACTGCTTTTTTAGTGGGCTTCAATATACAGAAAACCCCAGATTTGTATATTCCAACCATCTGTAATAAAGTTTGCGCTCTCAAAAACACATGAAAAGTAGTTTGAATTGAAAACACTGTGTGAGACAGGGGGCTTCTACATAGCCAAATCTCTACGTGTAACAGTCTCGATTGAAGGGTATTCTTATACTCCCATATTCTGGGAACCTTGCAACCTCTCTTCTATTTACGCTCACGACACACCTGCGAGGGAAGAGTGTTATCTACATTTTACAAATGGGAAAAGAACAATCACAATGTTTGCTTAAGATCACACAGAAGTCCAGTACGGAGGGAACTGAATCCAATCTCCTATATCTCAGGCTAACGCTTTAAACACTGGCCGTACCTTGCTGTTGGCAAGCCTTTGGTTGACATTTATCTAGATTTCACCTTCTGCAACACCTTTTAGTTCTATAATTGTTTTTATATTTCTTCATCTGAATGTCCACGTTTGTTTTGATATTTGTCATGCGTAGAAATGGCGTTACTTTGTGTAGAATCTCAAAGTTCAATAATAGTTATCTGACGATTACCCCCGTGGAGAAGACAGTAATCACTGAACACGTCGAAGAGACTGAGAAAGAGACATGAGAAGCTTCAGGCTCAATTTTTAACGACCATTCATTTCAAGTGGCTGTTGTGGAAAATCTAACTTCACACAACTGAGCTTGCAGCTTCAGAAATGCCCGTGACCTGCAGCGCTCAGACTTCAACAGGAATCACAAGTGCTCAGCAGCTCTCAGAATAACAGGCCCCAGCTGTGCCATGCCAAAGTTGATTTCAAAACAGGAAATTAAGTTCAGGAGCTGAGAGTCTTAGTTCTGTGCGGTAACCCTTGGACAACATACACTTTTACCTTAGCGTGATGCAACAGCAATTCTCTATGTCCTTTATGCTGATAACACACCAAGAAACTTGAGTTGTGCCTGAAACTACGGGAGAAAAAGCTGCATCCATGTAATGAAAATAAGAACTCCATAGCTCAGCTAAGCTACAGATGATTTGGTGTTACTTTCAAAGTCATGTACATACACTATACACACGAGAAAAAACAAGGCACTGAGAGGATAAGGGATTTTACCGTTCTGGTTTCTTCCCTGTCACATTCTCCCTGAACTCCCATCCAATCCCAACTCCCGTTCTCGAAACACCGGACCTTGTTTGTTGTGAAATGCAACGGTTCAACTTTCTCCCCAGTTGCCCCTGCACTCCAGCTATACACTTTACCAAGCTGCGGACGAGACACAACCTGAGCCAAAAAACGGCAAGTGACGTGCAGCTTGGCTAAATATCGAGGAAGATTAATTCCTTCTTGCCAGGACCTTCAGCAAAGCCTTGAGACAAGAATATCCATCTGCTCGGTCTTTCAATGGGCATCATGAGACCTGCAAATAAGGGACATTCAGGAAAGGGAGTAATACAAATAAACAGCTTATTTATCCAATTTATGTTTTAATTTATGCAGATTAAAGTCTTCCTCTTTGGAGAGGAAGACACAAATAGGCTGTATGATCTCCTTCCAAGATTTTTCTGAGATGTTTTCAAAACAGAGGGCTCTCCGCTCCTCCTCCACCCACTGTCTTTGAGGAATTTTTGCCTCACAGGTTTTGAGTTATCTGACGTCCCAGCTAAGCTTTCATGGCCCTCACCAGGAACACAAAGCGAAGGCAATCATCAGGCTTAAATGCCTCCGACTGCTGTTTAGCATTATGTTAGCTACAAGCCACAAAATAATGGCAAGGACAGCTTGTTGCAAGAACACCCCCACAAACCAGGCCCTCTCCCCATCTACGCAGAGCCTGAACATTTCTCTGAGATGCCAGAGATGTTATTTTCACCTTTGAGGAACCTGTGTTATGCTGTCTAAGGGGAGACAAACATTGATAAATACCTGAAACCAAGGTTGTACGGTAAACGAAGCCTTCCACCAATAACTTATCTGTGAAGAAGCCAGAATGCATCTTAGACCTTTAGACACGAAACGGTCCACACAAAGGGCATCTTCCTTCTGAACTAAACAGCCACAGAGGCACAGTGAAGACTGTTGTTACAAGAAAGCGGTGGTCAGAAATGTGTGTGCTTCAAAACCAGGCAGAACAACTAGGCAGGCTGTAAACACGCAGAGCTAAACGCACAGCTTAGGGGCAGGCATCCTTCAGAACACATCTTCATCATTCTAGGAGATGCTGAGTTGCGCGCTGCTAGTGTTTCATCACTCACCAAAGACTGTTCATCCACAGAAAGAACAGAGCTTTACATAAATACTGGGAAAAGGAGAGAAGTTCAGCTTTACTAATGGTGACATCACATAATAGAGGGTCTAGTCCCCAGACACAGCCTAAAATAGATAGCAC